AGAAAGCATAACACAAATTCACCCTAAGCAAAAGTGAGAATGTTATACTTACAGAATTTTTTTAGAGAGGCAAGGGAGCCACAGTGGGTGGGGCAAAGATGCAAAGTGAGTATGAGATGGGTGGATGGATGACAGAGACAGAGAGAGAGAGACAGAGAGAGAGAGAGAAATGATGATGATGATGATATAGATAGATGAGAGATAATCAGCCCAAATCAATCAACTGCAGGATAAAGGTGTCTTCACTTAATATTATGGATCATAATCTGCCACACTGGTCCATTACAGCTTGGTAGACAGATGTTTTTAGACTTCCCATGGAGAGACAGGAATTGTCCCAAATTACCCAGCCAGCTTCCATGCCTAAAAGAGACCAGAACTTGGGTCTTCCTATTCCTAGTCCAGCACTTTAACCACTGCACCACATTGCCTCTCATACTATGAAGCCTAAGGTGCCAAATCCAATTCTCAGAAGACCCTGGAGATAATAGATGGCCAATGTGGTTAGCAGCTATTAATTTGCCATGGTTCCATCTAAACTATTATTTGTTCTACTTGTAGACCAACCAATAATTAGCATTCTCTAACCCAGTTTTACAACCATATGAAGTTGGTAGACACCACCACATTTTGTTGCATTGAATCCCATAGCTTAAATGTAACGGGTGTAAATGATTGCATCCTTGTGTTTATTATGAATTTTCCACTATTCTTCTTCATTGAATGACCCAACATTGTAGTACTCTGTGTATGTGTGCATGCACGTGTGTGTGTGAGAGAGAGACAGAGAGAGCGCATTTCTGTTTGGTTTCTCTTGATAATTATTTCTACAGGGTACCACTTTCCTGAAATGGAGACTGAGAGTCTAACCTGAGTATATTCCTGGCCCTCTCAGTTAGTTCTGTCATGTTTAGTACCTTTTCATATAGTCTTAAAAGGATGCAGCTTGGTGGTACCATAATGAGCTGCCCTTACCTCACAGATAGGAGTCACTAGACAGCAGAAGAGGACCCCTGTGGTCTTTTACTTGATACTTGATGCAAAGGCCATGTATTATCAGAATTCCAACTGGAGGAAAAAGACCATTGGTTCAAGTCATCTAGAGCTTTGGGCTACAGAGTAATTGGAATGAGAGCTCTACTTTTCATTTCTAGAGAAGTGGCAGAAATATTGAGCTTCTGCTGAGAGTTCACAATTAGCTTAGAAAGGTTCCTTGATCTGGTTTTCTTGCTAGATGTGCAGGTGGCATGCATATTTCCTATTTGGTTTTTTGCTTTGTCAGTCATAACCATCTTGATAAAGATGGACCTTGTCAGTCATGTCTTAGCTAACTCCAGCTTAGACTGCTATCACATGGAATGTGCTCCCCAGAGGCGCATGCTTGTCATCCATGTCTTTTCAATGCTAGACTGACATTTTTCTCTCAGACATTTTTATAGTTTTGTCATCCCTATGATTTTGGTTGCCTGCATTATATTGGAGCAGAATCTTGTTTTTTTATGACTTTTCTGTGCTATTTATTAATTATATACATTTCTTCTTTTTAAGCCAGTCCAGTGACTTTGTGATATGCTCAGGAAACTCAGCAGATGTACAACCTTAACTAAGATACAATCCACCAGTTAATCAATGCAGTCAGAAATTGCCCAGAAGCTGTGGTTAGTTCAAAAGTTGCAGTTTAGTTGCTGGTGGGAACTAGGCATTTTGGCAAACTACAGTGACGTAGCACATCCAAATTGAGGGCAGAGCAATCTCATCTTGACAAACCAACAAGTAAATAAATAAATAAACAAACAAACAAACAAGCGAGCTATTGGGTAACCCACAACTTAATTCATGGTGATAAATAAAGGAAAGAAAGAACACATGCACACAATAGTTCCTTCTCGGCCTAATGTTACTTTCAGTTGTAAAGAAAGCATCCCGAATTGTGTGATAGAAAGAGAACAGAATCTCTCGAAATGTGGTTTTGTGGCGCAAGTGGCAGCAGTAGCTACCTCAACACATGTTGATTCGGAGTCCTTTCAGCATCTCTGAGGGTGGCTTCAGACCTTCAGCACTTGGTCTGGAGTCTCTCATGCCAAACAGGGAGGCCTGTCTTTTATAATGTTCTGTTTTTAAAGTGAAAAATCTCTGGGGAGAACAGGAGTCCTGAAAGTCCAAGGCCTGGAATTTTTCCTCTTTCTCTTTCTCTTTCCACTTGAAACAGGAAACATTTGCACTGAGCAATTCCAGTGGGAGAACGTAGGTTCATTTCAAGGCAGATAATGTTTGCATGTTGCTTATGTTTGGTGATTTATCCTATGGGCTTAAATGAGTCCAGCAGGAAGAAAAAAAACACATTATGTTTCACATCATGTAAAACAATGCTTGGTGAGTCTGGAGCATAGCATAGACACGAATCACTAGACAAATACGATGAGGTTCAGAAATGTGCAATTTTCAGATAAAAGTAGAATGATCGGCAATTTGCTTCTTTTTAAAAATTATTCTTTTGGCATGCCAGAACATTTCATTTAGAAGTGCTGAGAAACAAAAGTAGGTTTTAACTTAGACTGGTTAGTGCACAAAGCTGGAGGCACTTCATATACCCCTGGAGCCTTAGCAGGTGGGGAAGATTAGGAGATCCTGCAACTATGTGAATGAAGCATTAAATGTTGACTCACTTTTTGATGGAATGAGCTAAGCAAGAAAATACATTGAAACTAGATGGAATATTCCCAGGATGGACTTTGTAATCCTCTTTTTGAAGGGCTTGATCCAAATTGTATTGAGAGTCTGGATATCTAGAATGATCAATCTAAAACGATAAACATGGCAGTGTAGCCATTCCTCTAATTTGAGGAAAATAGGGTTCTCTTAACTTTGCGGGACTGACAATATTATTAGCGTTTTTTTGTAGAAGAAGATGACTTTATAGGAATTTTAGCTGGTCTAAAAAAGTACACTTAGTTCCTGGAATCCTTGATAAGACAGAAATGCTTTTCTAGAATACACATCATGACCCTTATTGAAATCTCATGACTAATGCAGAGAAGAAGTGGAAAAAATGTCGCTAACATAAATCTACTATGTGTTCTGTTAGGAATGTGATTTACAGAAGTTACTTTGATGGAATGTCTTGAGTGCAGACTGTAGAAAAAGGGAAAATGGATTTTAATTAGGGTGTTTTGGAAATAAAAATGTATGATGTTATTTCTGTTACTCATGAGAATAGGTGAAGCACTATTCAGGACGTTAAACCTCTTCCATCCCCTTGGAAATGCTACTCTAACTTTTATATATATTTGTACTACTCAGAGGATAGAATTTTTTAAAAGATTGTTAAAAAGCAAAAATGACTATCATTGCCAGAGTCCTAAAGACTCTGAAATCTTGCCAAGGCAGCCCCCAACAGCCACAAAAGAGCTAAATTATATGAGCAAAACTCCAGAGACAACTTATTGCCTTCTCCAATGTTTTTATTGAAATATAATTCCTTTTTGTGCAAAGTTGTGAACATAGAAGCTAAGCTGCTGTTTCCAAAAATGTCACAAAAAAATGTAGAAGCTGAAATGGACTTCTATTCATACATGCAAACTGTAGTTGTCATTTGTTTTCAAGTTGGGCATTTTCT